CTGGGCTGGGCTGAACCAATTGCTCCAAGGCCCCTTTCAGCACCGACAGTCTGTGACAGCAAGCAAGTGAGAGTCCCCTGACCTGCAGCTAAAGAACAGAGGCAAACTGGGGTGGGCACAGCTGGCGACTCAGTTCAGATCCATGCTAGCTTACTGGGAGCAGGTGATGGCAGGCATTGGCTTTGAAACTGGGCACACAAACACACACAGGACATAGTTTTTGCCCTCCAGGGGTGTGGAGTCTAGTGAAGCCTTCCCAGAGGAGCCTGCATGATTGGGAGTTACTGCTGATGTGTTTACCTTGCGTTGGTGAATTTTGAGATGTGTTCCTTGCACCATTATGAGTAATTAAAAATGTATCTACACCTGATTGATTCTTCCTTCTATCCATTGGGGGAAAAGCCCTATTTAAATAGATGGACAGACATTGAGTGGGTGTCTCTGTGTCCCAATAGGGTGAGCATGTTCTGCCCTTAAACAGATGCTAATCTCATCCTTGGGAAGACACAATGGACAACTCTAGAGGCTTAAACGATTCGGAAGCACACCTTGGAAATAGTACACATGGAGAGTAGGGCCTCTGGTGTTTCTGACTGACATGAGTGAGCTGAAGAAGAACCTGATTAAGGGAAGTAGGGGCTTCCTCCAGGGGTTTGGGGGAGCATGGATCACATGGCAGTTTTGTTTGGAAGAAAAGCCAGTCAAAGCCACAGGGAGTCCTTGCAAGGCCAGAGGAGAGAAAGTTGTTCCCTTGGAGAGAGTGGCATTTTGGAAAACTGAAAATCACTTCAGTAATACTGTGTATGAGAGTCTTTGTAACCAAAAAGAAATGCAATAAATCTCTCAGTTTGAAGGCTTCTTCAATATTTTACAAATCACACAATCATCTCCAGCTTTTGGCACAAAGAAAAATCCACATGACAAACCTTACAGAACATTAGCGATATCAAGATAAGCTGCATCTGCAGAATACCAATGAAATTATCCCTACTTGCTGCTGGTGTTTTCAAAAATGTGAGGCAGTGGGTTCATTTTTTTTTTCCTGTTAAAAATGGAAATCGGTGTTTGAGTATTCCATGAAGTTCTTCAGGTTCATTAACAAGGTCAAAATCAATGTTATTTTACTGTTTGGAATCATTTTTGGTGGAACAATGAAAAGAAACCATAGTAGAAGTAGTCTTAATATAATCATTTTCTTTTCATTGTTCTTTATGGGAAAATAATTTGGCCCGAAATTTAGTGGTCCCATCAGGGAGGTGATATCTTTAAAAAGGTGGTCTGAAGGACAGGTTTTACTGTACTTTAATAGGCTTATAGATTAATATAAATCTTAATATTCATAATCTTTACCATTTCTTTTCTCAATATCTGCTCCATCTATACATCTATTTATAAAGTATGTTTCAAACACAAGATATACTTGATTTTTATTAAATACACTGATGGCGCTACAGGGACAGCCACTTGACCTAGTTAAAAAAAGAAAAAAGAGCCAGGGGGTCAAATTTATGGATAGTCCGCTGCTGAAAACAGATTTTTTGCAGATAATACAATGGCCTGAGAGCAGGGCTGTCTTTGCAAATTTTCCATGCGCTGCTATTTGTGTATGGCCAGGTCAGTAAAATAAATATATGTATATTGGGTGCCAAGTGTGAGCTGCAGATGATCATGATGAAATGTGGACTTCTCACCTGGCAGCTTGATCTTTCTCATCAAAACATGGAACGCTCTCAACATATGTATGCTCACAAAGGAAAATCACAGTGATAACTACATAGGAAATTTACTTGTTGGATAGAAAAGAAAAATGTGTAAATATGTAATGCTTGGCAAGAATAAAGAAATATATGCTAATTTATTTTAATATGGTTATTTAAGGGAAACATTATCTAAGCGACTTTGGTATTATTTTGATTCTGAGATTCCTTGTTTGCCTGTTATGTTATAAACTTATTATGTTATAAACTTTGAAGCTTATTATGTCATATAATAACATAAGCTTATTATGTTATAAACATTGAAGAAATTAATGAATTGTAAATGTGTACAAAATTGATATATTAGGTAAAAACATGTACATATGTATGTATATCTTTTACTGATTATAAAAGTAATACATCCTTATTATAGAAAATTTACAAAATATGAGGCAAAAACCATAATACCACCCAGAGATAATCACATTAACATTTTCTTACCTCTGTTTTCTTTTAGAGTTTAGAGGATCCTGTGTGTATAAAATTGAATATGGTTTTATTAAATTTCATTGCAGGATCCTAGAACTTACTTCATGATTTCCTATAATTGGATGTTGGTATGGTTTCTTTTTTTTTTTCCAATTGCAAAATTGCAAATATAAAAGACAAACATCTTTTATATGAACCTTCGTTGGCATTTCACGTAACTGCCCCAGGAGCTAGTCCCAGAGATGGAGTTAATGAATTAAGTAGAGTAACATTTTTAAGGCTTTTGATACTTATTCCACAAAGCTTATGCCAATTTATAGTGTAAGCTTATTTCAGTCAGATTTCATGTACTTTGGTGAAGAAAACACTGTGGTTTCAAGTTTCCAAAGCAGTGATCTCCAGTGGTTGGTAACAATGTTCTTCTGTGGTTTCCCTGAGGGAGATGTGAGAAAGGGTTACCGGGGAGGCCCGTTTGTCTGATGTTAGGGAGTGCTAGTTCTTCTGGTTAACTCCCATAAAGGTTTTTTTCCCCTTCCTTCTTTTTTTAGACTATGTGGTCCTCATAAATAGTATTTAATGTTTTAAACATTAATATTAATTGAAAAAGGAGATAACTTAAATAATTGCCTATATATTTTCTTTACCTTTGTATATTTTGAGTTATAAGAAAAAAACCCTGGAATTTATTACTAGAAAAATGGGACTATAAAAGCATTTATGCTCTTTTGCCCACTCAACTTCCAGCTTTACTGCCTTTAAATATTTTGTCCTCAGTACCTCAGTCCTCTAAGGTATTTGGCTGTGTGCAGAGTGTCATATTCCTGTCCCCTCTGTTGACGAGGCTGTGGCTTTGTGTCTGTGGATGCCTGTGGGCAGAGGCTGGGCTCTCTGAAGGCAGGAAGCACTGACTGCCTGCATGGTGGCTCCCTCATGATCCCTGCGCCGTATACACCCTGGTTTCCCACCACCGGCTGTCTCGTGGCAATGTGTCTACTGTGCTTGAAACTGTTTAAATCCAGGGCATCATTTTAACAGTGTCAGTTACTCCAGGACTCAACAGGATGGGTATGCATGCTTTGGACATAGTGGGAATTATGTAAATGAAGGAAAGCAAGAAGGCAGAATAGACACACAGCCCCATTCACATTTAAATGCGAGGCCACGGATTGGGGGTTGTTTTATGATGAACCTTTCGGTTTCTGCTACTGTGAAGCTGTAACCATTGTAAGTGGCAGTGCAGGGATCTTTGCTTGTTGGGTTTCTAATCAGCAACTAAATCCTATCTCTGAAAAGCAAAAATAGTTGTTGCAAACAGGTATCTTTCTTTGGGTTGCTTGGCCACCTTTAGAATGCCTTTTCACAGGAAGAAGGAGAGAATGAAAGGTTTTTTTTTTTTTTTTTTTTTTTTTTTTTTTTTTTTTTTTTCAGAGACAGGGTTTCACCATATTGGCCAGGATGGTCTCAATCTCTAGATCTCATGATCCGCCTGCCTCAGGCTCCCAAAGTGCTGGGATTACCGGTGTGAGCCACTGCACCCGGCCTGAGAGTGAAAGTTCTTTTGCTGAAGAGGAACTTCCTTCTCAGAACTTCTCAGAACATTGACCATGACCTGCTAATGGCCAGTCCTGGCTCCTTTTCCAAATGCTGAGAAAAGCCTGAGAACTCAGAACTGAGGACAGGCGCTGAAGGAAGAAAGTGAGGCTCGCTTTTGTCCAGACACTGCCTATACAGTACCTTAGTAAACTTATTTTATTCAAAATAGATCCTCTCACTATATTTCAAAGTAGTTTACAACTCTGTATAAAATAGAACATCTTTACTAGGGGATGGTAGAATATAAACAGTAGAAACACAAATATTAATACCACCCTCACAATGCATGCCTTACAAAAGACATTTGCTAAGTTTTGTTATGTATAAAAATATATTTAGCTACCAACTTCACTGTCATTGAGGAAAATTGCACGAACCAATATATGTAAGTGAATAATTTTACATATAATTAGTGTCTTTTCTGATTAAGAAAGTCTTTTAAAGAACATATTAATTATTCATCTTATGTATCCTATGTGGCTAAAGCAGCTCTGTGAATAGAGACCTGCCAGTTTTTGGTTCTGTTTTTGTTTTTTGAGAAGAACGAAATCTCTGTCCCTCAGGCTGGAGTGCAGTGGCACGATCTCGGCTCACTGCAACCTCTGCCTCCCAGGTTCAAGCAATTCTCTGCCTCAGCCTCCCAAGTAGCTGAAATTACAGGTCCCCACCACCATGCCCAGCTAATTTTTTGTACTTTTAATAGAGACAGGGTTTCACCGTCTTGGCCAGGTTGGTCTTGAACTCCTGACCCCATTGTGATCCACCCACCTCAGCCTCCCAAAGTGCTGGGATCACAGGCATGAGCCACCCTGCCCAGCCTACTTGTTTTGTTAAAATAACAGAGTGCAGCTGTGATTTTTTTTAAAAAAAAAAAGCCTATCTGGAAGTGCTATTTTTATTTTTAAAGGGTAGTGGACAGGGGCAATCAGCGTTAATGGTTTAGTTTGCAAATATAATAGCTTTGGGGAAGAATGTCAGGTCAGGCAAATGTGTGGGCCACAATGGAGTGAAGGTTATGCATTTGCTAAAATGCTTCCAGACTAGGACTTTCCATGCCAGTGGCACATATGTGTGGGAACGTCGCCCTTGAAACCAAAGAGGGGAGAATGTACACCTAAAGAGAATCTGGTTTTTTACACGGCAGTTGTAAATGGGAACAACCACCGTTGCCAAATGTCAACTTCTTAGGTTTGTAAAACCCTCATTAACACCACTCTCCACAGATAACAATGTACATTTGAAGGAATAGCTTTACAGTCGAACTAGAGATTGTCCTTGCCGCTCGGAAACAAAATGGAATGTTATCTGGCCAAGAAAAAACAGTCTTTGAAAGTGTTTTCCTGAATCGGGTTGACTCTTCTGTGTCTCAGCCGGCAGGTCCCGGCAGTGTTCACAGCTTTGTGTTCTCTTCTGGGCCTCCGGGGGTGGCTTTGAATGGGACAGCTTCACAAAATCTGCATGAAAATTGGGAATTGTCAAAGTAATTTGCCATTTACTGACTTGCTGTCTATGCCTTTTGTGTTTTGATCAATAAAAACTTAAATCCTTTACCAAGTTTAGTAACAACCTATTCTAAAGCATTATATTCCCTCTAATGTTTTTCGAGTTCTGGTTGTACAGTTATCCATTTTCAATGATATTCATTTTAAAAGGTTATCAAACGAGAAACTAAACCAACCATACAAATAACAGCCCAAAGAACACTTTCCAAAATGTGTTGCTGTAGTGCCATTTCAAATTTAATATTCATGCAGAGGAAAGCTAAAGGCCACCAAACCAGGTGGATAAAATAGTACTGCATTTTATGACTCATTCTTAAATGAAATCTCTTAAATATTGCTAATGAAGCCGGCTCCCTCCACCCCCACAGCCTTGGCGGGCGCCCTTTCGAGCTGCTTCAGTTCCATTTCTCTGTCGAGCAATTTGCCCCAGGCCCCTATTAAATGAATTATCACAGCCCCTAAATCATCTCTGCGGGGGTTTCCGCTAATCCCATCAAGACACTTACACTCCCTTTCTTTCCTCCTGGTGACATAATGAGTGATTATTTCTTGGGGAGCCGTTAAAGAGGCCCCTCTGGAAGAGGAGAAGGCTTGCGGCCCAGGGCGGAGGCGCGGGGCTGGGCGGCGGGGAGGCCGGGTGGGCACCAGCGCCGCCTCGGGCTGACGGGGACAAAGAGGCCACGCGGCCACCAACTGCCCTCCCGGCCCCCCGAGGTAGGGGCCCCCGCGAGCGGCGGGCCGAGAGCCTCCCCGTCCAGGCCTCCAAGTGCGCCCGGCCTGGGTAGCGACTTCTGGAGCCCAGGAATGCAGGGCAAGGAGAGAGAATATAAATGTTTTCCTTAACCAGAGGAAACACCGCACTCGCAAACCACTTGCAGAATAGATTAAGCTAATTTATTAAACACAGTTTGCCTGGTGACTGAGCTGAGCTGAGTAATGATTTACAATTAAAAAAAAAACATTAATAGGAGAAAGTCAGGGGCCACCGTGGCCCTAATCATGGGGCCATGGCAGCTCCGACGGGGCTGGGGCGCGCGTCCCGGCGCTGGGGCTGGGACCAAGGGTGGCCTTAGGCCTGGGGCATCGGGGAAGCTTCGCAGCGGTTGCGGATCCCAGTTTCCCAGCTCCGGGGAGGTGGCGTCCAGGAGAAGAGAGCTGGGCCCTGGGCGGGGAGCCACCTCCAGGGAGTCGGGCAGAGGGACCCTCTTTCCAGAGGAAGGGGTGGTTTGGGGTGTGTGTGTGTGTGTGTGTTTTACATGTTGTTTCTGAGGCGCTCACACCTCCCTCCGCATACCAGTGCTGGGTCTTCTGACAGTGAAGTAACATAAAACAGTTTCCAGGAAATTTTGGGACCTAAACACGGGGATACGTTTGTCTTGTGCAGTGATTCTCAACAGCATTGCTGCCAGCAACCCTCTTTTCATAATAAATGATTCCTAATGACCCTCGCGGTGGCTTGCGCCTGTAATCCCAGCACTTTGGGAGGCTAAGGTGGGAGGATCGCTTGAGCCCAGGGGAGACCATCCTGGGCAACACAGTGAGACTTCCGTCTCTACCCCAAAACACAAAAATTAGCTGGGCATGGTGGCACATGCCTGTAGTTCCCACTACTCAGGAGGCTGAGGCAGGAGGATCACTTGAGTCTGGGAGGTCGGGGCTGCAGTAAGATGTGATTGTGCCATTGCACTCCAGCTTGAGCAACAGAGTGAGATAATGTCTCAAAAAAAAGTTGTAATATCTTTTACTATTCCAAAAAAATACTGAATTATATATCCTACACATGATTTTTAAAAAGTGAAGATGGAAGGAAGGGAGAAAAGAAAGAAAGGCAAAACATGAGGGTCTAACTATAAAAGAAACAACAACACATCAGGTATAATATAACAAAAATATAGCAAAATATGTGTTTCAATGGGTACATTCTCTGTCACGACAACTAAGAAAGGAAGTAGTCAAAATAATAATCTCACGCTTTTTTTTTTTTTTTTTTTGGAGACAGGCTCTCATTCTATTGCCCAGGCTGGAGTGCAGTGGCGCCATCTTGGCTCACCGCAGCCTCAATCTGTGGGCTCAAGTGATCCACCCACCTGAGCCTCCTGAGTAGCTGGGACTACAGGCATATGCCACCATGCCCAGCTAATTTTTGTAGTTTTTGTAAAGATGGGGTTTTACCATGTTGCCCAGGCTGATTTTGAACTCCTGAAATCAAGTGATCTTCCTGCCTTAGCCTCCCAAAGTGCTGGGATTACAAGTGATCACACCACGTGGTAACGGATGTTGATTTAAGAGAAAGCTGTCAGTTGATTGTTGCTGTCTCTTTTTCTTTATAATCGACTTTATGAAATAAGGGCTAAATAAGGATATTGACTTGTATATGTAGAATCATCCAAATGTGACAGCTATGGATGGGAGAACTTAGAGCCCAAGAGCTACACTGCATTGTTGTCCATACATGGTTTTCCAAAATGGTGAGCAACTCTTGGTCGGGTTCCAGATAAAACTGTGTACGTGGTAGTTGTATTCCTGGAAAATTTAATGTACATTAAAACTAGGTGAAAACACTTTGTGCTTATACAAAAACAATGGAGCTAGAAATAATTATCAAAGGTTTTTTCACCTACTTGAATATCTGATGGAACCTTGGGATGTGTCCCAAAGGACCTGGAACAATTGTTTGAGTGCCAATGCACTGCCTTTTGGGGTGGGCACTATCCTCTTTGAAATTCACTGGTCTAGAACATTGGTTTCTAAATTCTTTGAATTAGTGTTTCATGGAGAGCAGAACATTTTACGTATGACATTAGAGGGTTTGCAGGCCTCTCGAAACCTATTCGCAGACCGTCTACCACGTCCACGTATTCTGAATTCTGAACTCTTGGTCCACAGCAGAAATTGAGACTAGAATCATAGAATAGGAAAGAGACTCACCTGGATCCTCTGAGGAAAAATAGCTCATCCAAGGTCTGAAGACCATATTCAAGTTTTGAGTTGATTTGGTTATTGCAGGAAATTAGTCACCTTCCTGGTTCTGGAAGTGGAAACTAAATTACGTTCGTCTTTAAGGCAACTCTAACACACTGTTTACTTCTACTCAACTTGGGATTAATAAAAACCCTAAGTCTATTCCACTTGTTCTGGCTAAAATGTTGGACCTATGTATTTAGGCAGATAATTTTTTGGTATTGAAGTGGAGGGCTTTATATTAATACCCGTTAAATGCCTTCTTGTTGAAGATGACTCTTTATCCCCGTCTTGTCTAGATGTTTTTAGATACCAATTTTGTCTTTGAATTCATAAACTTTCCTTTCTAACTCTCTGTCACCTGCATGTCAAAATGTTAGAATTAATTATTTTAAAAAGGAAAACTGAGAAAGAGGCCTCTTTGCCAATGCCCTATCACTAGTAATAATAGGAAGAGGTTAGCTTTCTCTAGTGTATGCAGGAAAAGTCCCGTTAGTTAAGTGTATATATCATTGCATATTTAAAGCTGAAAAAATAAAGCAGTGTGCATTGTAATGGTGCTTCCTTTAATGTTGTCAGAAAAGTTTAATTTTTATTTAATTAAATTCGTTAATTAATTTTGAGAGGGAGTCTTGCTCTGTTGCTAAGGCTGGAATGCAGTGGTGTGATCTCAGCTAACTACAAACTTGGTTACCTGGCTTCAAGTGATTCTCCTGCATCAGTTTCCCAAGTCGCTGGGATACAGGCATGCGCCACCACGCCTGGCTCATTTTTGTTTTTTTTGGTAGAGACAGGGTTTCATCATGTTGGCCACGCTGGGCTTGAACTCCTGACCTCAAGTGATCCACCGGCCTGGGCCTCCCAAAGTGCTGGGATTACAGGTGCAAGCCACAAAGCCCAGTCTGATTTTAATTTTAAAAGTCTTTTAGAAGAGGGCTGTTCCCCACTCTCAATGTTGGGGTTCTGTCAATTCTAAAAATAATATTGTACCAAACTTAAATATGTTTTATAAGGAGTTTCCCGCAACCCTGCCATTCTAACCTGTTTTGATTTTTCCATTTTTCTATGTTTCTTTCAATGGCTTCTAGTTTTTGTTTGGGCTTTTATGTATGGCATGCCCAATTTTCTACATCTGTTTCTAGTTCCCTGTTAGAAATCGGTGTTAGCCGGGATTTACTCTTAAGCATGAGCAATTGAACTAAAACAAGCAACAGAAGGTCTTCCATACAGCTTTGCCTAAGTGGGCTGACAGGTGGACTGAAATCTTTGTAGGCCTTACAGAGAGTGATCACTACAGAGAGGAGGTAGAACTGCCGTGTGAACTTAGCAGCTGACGTTTTAAAGATTCATCGAACATTTACGTAAGTCAGAAGTGTACGGGGAGTGTGGGGGCAATGGGGTCTTGAGCGGCTGATTTAGAAAGCCCTGAAGTTGTGATTTGGAACATTTTGTTTTAGGGAGCCCAGTCCAAAGTCTGTATTCAGTTCTGCTTAAAAACAGGGTGAGGGGGTAGGAAAGGGTGGTAGAGATGGCATTTTGATTCATTTTTGGTTTGGGAGGGTGCTGGGACAGTTGGGGCATTAGAAGCCCTTTACAGGCCGGACGTGGTGGCTCATGCCTGTTATCCCAGTACTTTGAGAGACCAAGGTGGGCAGACTACCTGAGGTCAGGAGCTCGAGACCAGACTGGTCAACATGGAGAAATCTTGTCTCTACTGAAAAAAAAAAAAAAAAAAGCATGGTGGTGTGTGCCTGTAAACCCAGTTACTAGGGAGGCTGAGGCAGGAGAATCACTTGAACTCAGGAGGCAGAGGTTGTAGTGAGCTGAGATCACGTCATTGCACTGCAGCCTGGGCAACAGAGTGAAACTCTGTCTCAATAAATAAATAAATAAATAAATAAGCCCTCTGCTTCTGTTATGTTCATCTCCCTATGGTGTTGCCATCTCTGGATAAGATGGAACTTTCTTTAGGACCCAGGTGGGTGGCTACAGCCTAGAGATGCTTGTCCACAGTTCAATTAAGTCTAAGCTAAAGTTTCATTTACAATTTACACCTGTTTCTCTATCCTCTTATGCTGAATATTTTGTAGAACATCTTCACTGTCAATACCATTTATTTCTTAGAAAATTGATAATAATGGTGGCTATCATTTATTGGGCATCTAGTATATGCCAGGCAGTGTATACTTATATCATTTTGCTTCACAATACCATGAGATAGGAGTCATTATGTCATTTTCATAGTCCAAGGTCATGTTACTTTATAACATTCTGTGTCTGTTTAAGAATGTATACATTCGAGTGATATAAAATAACATCTCATGGCCACGTGCAATCACACCTGTAATCCTAGCGCTTTGGGTAGCTGAGGAAGGCAGATCACTTGAGGTCAGGAGTTTGAGACCAACCTGACCAACATAATAAAACCCCATCTCTACTAAAAATGCAAAAAAAACTAGCGGGGCATGGTGGCCGGAGCTGTAATCCCACCTACTCCGGATGCTGACATAGGAGAATTGCTGGAACCTGGGAGGTGGAGGCTGCAGTGAGCCAAGATGGCACCAGTGCACTCCAGCCTGGGTGACAGCGTGAGACTCTGTCTAAAAAA